GTTTATGTCTGGCTAGTGTGAAGGGCACTGCCTTCTTGATCTCTTTTTCTGTTATCCCATCAGTTGTATATAGCAATCTGATTGACTTCTGCTTGTTGATCTTGTATCCTGCCACGCTACCATATTCCTCTATCGCTTCCAGCACTCCTATTGTGGAGCTTTTGGGGTTCTCAATATATAAAATCATATCATATGTGAATACTGATGGTTCCACCTCTTGTTTCCCCAGATAAATTCCTTTAATGGCTTTCCTTTGCCTTATGTAAGAACTAAGTATTCTTAAATTGGAGCTAGGAGCTCAAAAGCAACAAAGCCCACATGGAAGAAGCACAGCAGCCTGTGTGATCATGAGGTTTTAAAGGGATTCGGGATCAGACATCAAAGAACGAAAAATCAAATCATTGTAAATGAGGGGGAGTGCAGATTGGGGGAACCCAAGACCCATCTTTCAGCAACTTACAGAAGGGTCGTGGGGAGGAGACGAGCTAGTCAAGGTGCAGTGTAGCAACGATGGAACATACGACTTTCCTCTAGTTCCTAAATGCTTCCTCCTCACCCCACTATCATGATCCCAGTTCTACCTTACAAATCTGGCTAGACCAGAGGAAGTACAGTGGTGCAGATAGGAACTGGAAACACAGGGAATCCAGGACAGATGATCCCTTCAGGACTAGTGGTGAGAGTAGCGATACCAGGAAGGTGGAGGCAAGGTGGGGTGGAAATGGGGAACCGATTACAAGAATCTACATATAACCTCCTCCCTGGGGGATGGACAACAGAAAAGTGGGTGAAGGGAGACATGAGACAGTGTCAGATTTGACAAAATAATAATAATTTATAAATTATCAAGGGTTCGTGAGGGAGGGGGAGGGGTGTAGAGGAGGGAAAATGAGGAGCTAATATCAAGGTCTCAAGTAGAAAGCAAATGTTTTGAGAATGATGATGGCAACAAATGTACAAATGTGCTTGACACAATGGATGGATGGATGGATTGTGGTAAGAGTTGTACGAGCCCCCAATAAAATGATTTTTTTTTAATTGGAGCTAGGATTTAGTACAAGGCTCCAAATCCACTCCTAGATTTATGTTTTTTTATCTACCTTTAGCTCCCTTTAGAGACCTCCTTGTTATTTTATGATAGAGAGTATTATCAACCATCTCCCTGGAGCATAAAGATCTCCCATTAATATTGTCATTGATTAGCCCCTGGTACTAATTTTTTAAAGCCCTATTGATAGAGAGATTAGGCCAATGTAGGCTAACTCCATATTGCAGTACCTGAACGATTCACTGGTACAGAATCAATCCTTTTGTAGCTGGATACTATTTACACAAACAATGGGAGTGATTGTCAGGGAAGATTTACAATAAGATTCACTGATAATGTCAGTCACGGGTTTGCTGAAATAATATATATCTTAATACAGCATATAGGGCATTGATGTAGCAAGACCATGTTTGTGTGATTACCAACAATTCAAAAATCTTGGTACAGCTGTCTTCTGCTTTCTTCAGACACCATGACTTTTCACAGTCTGATGATTAATGAATGTTCCAGCAGTGTCTTCTCATTTTGAAGTGTGCTACATCAGAAAATGAAGGTCCTGAAAACTTTATCCCATCCACAACATTAAAGTCAACTCCCATTTGAAGAGGCAGCTTTTCCTAAGTTGTATTTAGAGTGTCTTCCAGCCTGAGGGATTCATCCTCTGCCATTCTGTCAGACAATGTTTCTGCTACTATTCATAAGATTTTCAGTGAACCTTCTTCCTAGTCTGTCTTGGTATGTAGCAGCGATAACATTTGTCCATCACAAGTGACCCTACTGGTATTTTAAATACTGGTGACAGAACTGTCCTATGAGAAAATCATCACAACCTTAGAATGTTGTTGTTGTTGTTGTTGGGTCTCATTAAATTAGTTACAACCCATAGAAACCCTATGCACAACAGAATGAAACACTGTATGGTCCTGCACTAGCTTCACAATTGTTCCTATGCTGAGCCCATTGTTGCAGCCACTATGTCAATCCATTTCCTTAAGTCCTGCCTCTTTTGCACTTCCCCACCAAGTTACCCAGCATGATGGCTTTCTCCAGGGACTGGTCTCCTGGCAATATGTTCAAAGTACATCAGAGGAAGTCTCGCCATCTTTACTGCTAAAGAACACTCTGACAGTACTTCTTCCAAGACAGATTTGTTTGTTCTTTTAGCAGTCCATGGTACTTTCAATATTCTTCTCCAGCACCACATCTCAAATGCATCGGTCCTTCTTGGGTCTTCCATATGCAATATTCAACTTTCACGCGTATATAAAGCAATTGAAAATACCATGGCTCGCTTGCGTCAGGCACACCTTAGTCCTCAGAGTAGCATCCTTGCTTTACAATACTCTAACAAGGTCGTATGCAGCTGATTTACCTAATGCAACATGTCTTTGGATCTTTTGACTGCTGCTTCCATGATCATTGACGGTGGATCCAAGGAAGAAATAAATCTTGACAACTTCAACTTTTTCTCCATTTATCATAATGTTATGTATTGGTCCAGTTGTTAGGATTTGGGGCTTCTTGACACTGAGCTGTCATCTATACTGAAGGCTGTAGTCCTTGATCTCCATCAGCATGTGCTTCGGGTCTTCTTTGCTTTCAGCAAGCCCGGTTGTGTCATCTGCATATTTCAGATTGTTAATAAGTCTTCCTCGAATCCTGATGCCACCATTTCTCCATATAAGCCAGCTTCTCTGATGACTTGCTCAGCACACAAACTAAACAAGTATGGCGAGACGATACAACCCTGGCACACACGTTTCCTGATTTTAAACCATCCGATATTTCCTTGTTCTGTTCTTGATCCTCATAAGCTTAAGTTCCTCAGAGCATGAAGTGTTCTGGGACGCCCATTCTTCTCCCATTCTATCCATAGTTTCATTGTGGTCCACACAGTCGAATGCCTGCGTATAGTCAGTGCAACAAAAGCATCTTTCTGATGTTCTATGCTTTGAATCATGATCCATCTGACGTCAGTAATGATAGCCCTTTCTCTTTTAAAGCTTTCCTGAACTTCTGGCAGTTGCCTGTCAATGTACTGCTATGGTCACTGTTGAATCTTCAGCAAAATTTTACTTGTACAAAGTTATAATAATAGTCAGGAAAACAAAATGTTATTCTGCATATGTAATAAAAAGAAAAGGCCATTGGGAAATAGGCTGACACACCACAACTAGCCAGTCTGAACAGCAATTCAGGGTTGTCAGTTTATATACAGAGTTGGTGGTGGTTTGATCCTTTCAGTGGACAAACTAAATATAAACAGTAACTTCCCCAAAATTTATTGTTAAAAGCTGTTGAAATGAAGACAGTCAGGAGAGGTCTTTTGTTGACCATCAGACCAGAGTTGGGGAGAACAAAGGAGACAGCACTCTCTTGATTGCACGTTTTAGTTTTGAGGGGTACTCCCTTCAGTGTACCTAATTACTCATTTGTGTGGTCCTACTTCATCTATGTGTCTTTCCCACAGGCGACTACTCAGCCTTTCTGGCTTAACCGGAAGACTGCGTAGGGTTATTGCCCTTCTCTGTCTCCTGTGCCTTCCCTTTGGCAGGTTGGTGGTCAGAAAGTGAATGTGAAGTACTCACGAAGGCATTAGGACTATTTCAAGGCTTAGAACAAAGCTGGGACTCTGTCTGCAATGCTTTGACGGCATCATAGCAGCACATAAGTCCCCGCAGTGCCAGAGTAATGGTATTTCAAGCAGAGAGGCAGATATAGATACAGAGGGAACAAAGCAAAATGTGGGGATTAATTACTGATTATTGATCATAGGCAGTTATACAAACAAAACAAAAGAGTATTGCCTGGTTTAAAATCAAGAAAGGTGTGTGGCAGGGTTGTATCCTCTCACCATACATGTTCAATCTGCTTATTAAGCAAATAATCAGAAAAACTGGATTATATGATGAGCAACTTAGCATTGAGTTGTAATCCAAACTGAAGGCAACAACCCTTAATCATCATTCAACTAGTGGTTCAAGTCCTCCTCGCTTTCAGCAAGCAAGATTGTGTCATCTGCTTATCCCAGGTCATTAATGAGCTTTCTTCCAATCCTGATGCCATATTCGTCTTCATATAATCCAGCTTTTCTGAATATATGTTCAGCAGACAGTTTGAAGAAGTATGGTGAGAAATACAACCCTGACAAGCACCTTTCCTGATTTTAAACCATGCAATATCTTAATGAGCACCATTCAGTGCTCCTAAATTCCCATTCTTCTCAATGTTATCCATAGTTTGTTAAAATCCATAAAGTCAAATGCCTTTGCATAGTCAATAAAACACAAATTAATATCTTTATGGTATTCTCTGCTTTCAGCCAAGATCCAGCTTACATCAACCACGATGTCCCTTGCTCCACACCCTCTTCTGAATCTGACCTGATCCTCTGGCCACTCTATGTCAATGTATTGCTAAGGCCATTGTTGGATGATCTTGAGCAACATTTGATAAGCATATGCTATAAATGACATGCTATAATTTGAGCATTCTTTTGTGTCACCTTTCTTTGAAATGGGTACAAATGGACACCCAAAAAATGGGTCACTCCCAGTCAGTTAGCCAAGTAGCTATCTTCCAAACTTCCTGGCATATATTAGTGAGCGCTTCCAGTGCTTCATCAGCTTGCTGAAACATTTCCATTGGTAGTCCATCCATTCCTGGAGCCATATTTGTGGCTGATGCTTTCAGTGCAACTTAAACCTCTTTCTTCGGGACCACTGGTTCTTGATCATATGCTACCTTTAGAACATGACAAGTTAGTATATCATGTTTATTAAGATCTGTATTTTACTGAGAGAAACAGAAAGTAACATCTGGCTTAGGTTTTAAGATTTCTTTATTACTTTGGAACTAGATGGTAGCTGATAAAGAGGGGGTTAGGACAGAAACTGAGAAATCGCTAGGAGGCTATTACAGTAATCAGATGTGGGATCATATTAAATTCAAGATGCCTGTCGCTCATCCAAGTGGTGAAATACAGTAAGAATTGAGAAATATGACTATGGAGTTCAGGGATGAGGTGTGGACTACAGATATAAGTGTGGAAGCTGTCAGCATATGCGTAATATATAATCCTATAAGACTAGATCATGTTGTTGTTGTCGGGTGCCTTTGAGTAGGTTCTGATTCAGCAACGGACCTTATGCTCAACAGAATGACACACTGCCCCATGCTGTGCCAGACTCATAATTATTATGCTTGAGTCCATTGTTGTGGCCACTGTGTCGGTTCATCTCATCAAGGGTCTTCTTCTTTGTTGCTGGCCCTCTACTTTATACATGATGTCCTTCTCCAGAGACTCGTCTCTCCTGATAATATGTACACAGTATACCGATCAAAGTCTCACCATCCAGGCTTCTAAAGAGCATTCTGGCTATACTTCTTCCATGACCGATTGATTTCGTCTTCTGTAATTCATGGTGCTTTCATCATTCTTCACCAAGACCAGAGTTCCATTCCATCGATTTCTGTGGTCTTCCTAATTCATTGTCCAACTTTCACATCTGAGGTGATTGAATAGCCCATGGATATGGCATCCTGAAAACTGAGCCTAGATCCAGAAAGGAAGAGGTCTGAGTTCTAATCCCTGACATTTCAATGGTCAGTGGTCCAGGAAGTGGGGAAGAATCAGTAAATGAAGGGAATGGTTTATTTAGAGAAGAACTGAGAGGTTGAGGTCTCCGCTATCCAGAGAAGAAAGTGTTTCCAGGAGAAGAGGATACTCCTGTGTTACGTGCCATCAGTAGGCCAAGGTATCTTTGGGAAAGTTGCTAGTAACCTTGGCAAAAGCTGTTGGTTAGAATTGCATAGACAAAGGTCTAATGGGGATAGGTTCAAAAAATTCTAAGAGGGTAGGAATTGAAGATGGTGAATAAAAACAACTTTTTTCAGGGAATTTTGCTACTAAAGGAAGGAGAGGGATTAAGTGGCAGCTAGGAGAAATGCAGGAAGGGAAGTTTGTGGTGGGGGTGGGGTGGTAGTTTACTTAAAATGAGGGTAATTAGAGCATGTATATACAATAAAGGAAACAGATATGCTTTCTTCTGAATATTTCTTTTTTTATTTCAGAGTGAGGAGAGAATTCTGTCTTATCTGTTTCATGACCTATCAAAAACCTTTGACAATGATGACCTGCATCCCTTGAAACACGCTTTTCCTTTGTTGTTGCCATTAGGTGCCATCGAGTCAGTTCCGGCCCATGACTCCCGTGACTACAGCACGAAACATGGTCCGGTCCTGCACCATCTTCACGATCGTTGCTGTGCCTGGGCCCACTGTGGCAGCCACCATGTCCGTTCATCTCCTAGAGGGCCTTCCCCTTGTTCACTGCCCTTTCACTTCCCTGATTTTCATACCCCAGGTTTCTCTCTGATCATTTCCTCCCTGTCTCCATTTTGAGATTTCCTCCCTGGTGGTGCACAGTTAAGCCCTTGACTCCGGATGCAAAGGCTGGCAGCTTAAGCCCACCCAGCAGGTCCCTGGGAGAAAACCCTGGTGATTTTCCTTGGCAGGGATTACAACATAGACACTCCATGGAGTCAGTCTGCTCTGTCACATGGGGTGGCTATGGAGCAGACTTGACATTGCAGCACCACCAGCAATATCCCTAACTGACCTCAGGGCTTCCTTCTCTAGAGCCCCTTTCCTTCTGAGTCTTCGTGAGCGATCCCACTGAGCACTCGATTATCTATCCAGTCTATGGGTGTTGCAGTGACACCATGGCTGCAACAGTGGGCTCAAGCACAGGAGCAAGGGTGAGGATGGCACAGGACTGGGCAGTGTTGTGTTTCTGCTGTGCATCTATGGGTCAATGGCACCTAACAACAACACCACTATGGATATTTAATGGACACTTTCCATGTAATAGGCATTCCTTACGGTACCGGGAAAACGCTGGCTACATGATCCTTCTATTATGAAATCACACTAAATCTCCCAAGCCATTATGGAGTAGTAGGTAGGCATTGGACTTTGATCCACAAGGGAGACAGTTCAAAACCACCAGCTGCTCCATGGGAGAAAGACAGGGCTTTCTACTCCCATAAACACAGAGTCTCAGAAACTAAAAGGGACAGTTCTACCCTCTTCTATATGGTTGGTTGCTATGAGTCGGCATCGACTCAGTGTCGGAGAAAAGAAAAGAAGCATTTCCGTGGTAAGAAGAGAATCAGCTTTAGATAATCACTTAGCCCTAGACCACTTCTTTCCCTTGCTGAGAATTTAATAGAATTGTCAGAGTAAGCATTCAAGTATCGGTTTGTGACGGTGATGTTCATTTTTGAAAAATCCTATGAAGCAAGTTATTTTAAATTCAATGAATAAAGACAACTTTGGGTTGATGTCTGGTAAATGTGTTCTCTGGGGAAGCCCATATTTTAACAGCACATGTAGTATGTGTGCAGAGCAGTGGCTGTTTTATTCTATACCAAATGTTTTTCTGTTTTAGCTTCAGGTATTGATTCCGTATTTCAAGATTCGGATCTACAGAAGACTGTCGTGATTCCTGGCTATAGCAGCTTCCTGATCACAGCGATTGTAGACAATATCACTGCTTTGGCTGTGGCGACAGTGCCTGAAAGAGCTCCCCTCAATAGCACCATTACCAGGTGGCTTCTCTTCAACTTTGGGATAGTTGGCGGACGGCAATGGACTATCTATCCAAGAAAATGTAATTATTGGTATTACCAGTATGAATCTGGTGACCAATTACCCTCCAATGTCGAGAGATACCTTGATCTTGGGAAGGGTTATTCTTTTAAAACGAAGATCGTACCTACTCTAAGAGGTAAGTTTGTTTTTATTGGGAAGCATCAACAGGCAATACTATTGTTTATCTTGAATGTAAATGCATTCTTTGATAGTTCTTGTATGTTTTGTTCCCACGGTAGGCAGCTCATAAACGCTTTAGTTCCTCGTTATTGCAACAAGGATGTGACTTTGAGGACTAAGGTGTGCCTAACCCAAACGATGGTATTTTCAATTGCCTCATGTGCTTGTGGAAATTGGGCATCGAAGAGGAATTGATGTATTTCAATTGTGGTGCTGGTGAAGAATTTTGAAAATACCATGGATTGCCAAAGAAACAAACCAATCTGTCTTGGATGAAGTGCAGCTAGAATGTTCTTTAGTGGCAAGGATGGTGAGACTTTGTCTCACACATTTTGGACACGATATTAGGAGAGACTAGTCCTTGGAGAAGGACACCATGCTTGGTAAAGTAGAGGAGCAGTAGGGGGTGGGGAGGAATTAAAAAGAAAAGACCCTTGACAAGCTGGATGGACACAGTGGCAGCAACAATGGGCTCAGACATAAAAACAATTGTGAAGATGGCCCAGGACCGGGTGGTGTTTCTCTCTGTTGTCCAGTCACTCTGAGCCAGAACCAACTCAGCAGCGCCATCAACAGCCTTAAGCACTTACTGCATGCTTCCTCTCTCACATGCCCACGAAGCCGCTTCCTCTCCCACATGCCCACGAAGCCGCTTCCTCTCTCACATGCCCACGAAGCCGCTTCCTCTCCCACATGCCCACGAAGCCCTTCCTCTCTCATATGCCCACGAAGCCGCTTCCTCTCCCACATGCCCACGAAGCCGCTTCCTCTCTCACATGCCCGTGAACCCATTGAAAACATTATGGCACAATTAGGCAGACCTTAGTCCTTCCACGTGACATTTTTGCTCCTTAACACTTTGACGAGCTGCAGATTTTCCCAATACCACATGTTGTTTGATGTCTTGACTGCTACTTTTCTGAGGGCTGATTATAAATCCAAGTAAAATAAAATCCTTGACAAGACCAAAGAAGAATTGATGTATTTTAATGATGGTGCTGATAAAGAAGACTGATTATTATGCCATGGACCACAGAAGGATAAGGAGCCCTTATGGCAGGGAAGGCTATGGCATGGAAGGCTGCCACTGCAAGGCGAGCAGTTTGAACCCCCAACCACTCCACAGGATAAAGATGGACATTTCTGCTCCTGTAAAGATTCACAGCCTCATACAGCCACAGCACTAGTTCGACTCTGGCCTAAAGGGTGGCTACAAATCTGAATCAGCTCCATGTCATTGAGGTGGATTTTGGGGAGAGTGGGTTGCTTTTAAATCAGAAAAATGAACTAATCTGTCTTAGAATAAGTACAATCAGAACGCTCCTTGGAAGACGTCGGTCAGTGTAAGATATGAAAAATAATAACAATTTATAAATTATCAAGGGCTTGTGAAGGAGGGAGGGAGGAAAATGAGGAGCTAATGCCAAGGGCTCATGTAGAAAGAAAATGTTTTGAAAAATGATGATGGCAATAAACGTACAAGTGTGCTTGACACAATGGATGGATGGATAGATGGATTGTAATAAGATTTGTCCCCAATAAAAAGAAAAAAATGCTCCTCAGAAGCAAGAATGATGAGACTCTTCTCGCATGCTTTGGTCATGTTCTCAGGAGAGACCAGCCCTTGAAAAAGAACATTATAGTGAAGCAGAGAGTCAGCAAAACAGAGAGGCAAACTCTCAACTCGATAGAGCGACATGGTGGCTACAGCAATGGGTTAAACAAAGACAGGGACAATTAGTGCAAGGTTGGGCAGTGTTTTGTTCTGTTGTACATAGAGTGGCTAGGAGTCAAAACCCTAACAACAATAGTATGTGGTAGGTACTCTGTATTTTTTGCCTAATGCTTTTAGTGATCCTAAAAAGCTAGACTTATTACACTCATTTTACTTTGACACAAAGAGAGTTAAATTATCAGCCTACATATAATTTTTGTTTAGAGTTTACTACAACCTGAAGAGAAGTGTTTAACTACTTCAGTATTTTTTTAATTATTTTATTGAGGCTCTTATAACAATCCATACATCAATTGTATCAAGCATATTTGTACCTATGTTGCCATCATTATTTCCTAAACATTTGCATTGTATTTGAGCCCTTGGTAACAGCTCCTTTTTTTTACCCTCACACCCTCGTGACCCCTTGATAAATTATAAATTATTATTATTGTTATCATATCTTACACCAACCGCTGACTCACTCCCCCCACCCAGTTTCTTCCCTCCTCCTCTCCCCACCTTCCCCCTACCCTCCTGGTATCGCTACTCCCATTTCTATTCCTGGGGGGTTAACTGACCTGGATTCCATGTGTCCTGAGCTCTTTATCTGTACCTGTGTACATGCTCCAGCCTAGCCCTCAGTGAAAGGCAGGATTGGGGTTATGATAGTGGGGGTGAGGAAGCCTCAAGGAACCAGAGGAATATTGTGTGTTTCGGTGCTATACTGCACCCTGGTTGACTCATCCTTCCTTGCAACCCTTCTGTGAGAGGATGTCACATTTTCTACAGATGGCTTTTGGGTCTCTGCTGTGACCCCCCTCGTTCTCAACAATATGTTTTGTGTTTGTCTGTTTTGGGTCTTCTGATGCCTGTTACCTGATCACACAGGCTGGTGTGCTTCTTCCATGTGGGCTTGTTGATTCTCTGCTAGATGGCCACTTGTTTCACTTCAAGCTTTTAAGACCCCAGATGCTATATCTTTTTACAGTCGGGCACCAACAGCTTTCTTCAACACATTTGCTTATGCACCCGCTTTGTCTTCAGCGATCATGCCAGAAGGGTAAGCATCACAAAATGCCAGGTTCTTAGAACAAAGTGTTCTTGCGTTGAGGGAGGGATTGAGCAGAGGCCCAAAGTCTGCCCACTTCCTCGATGTATTACCATATAAATATATGTACTTATGCCAATCCCTCTATTTTTATGAATTAATATATTTGCATAAGTGCACACCTATGTTTGTACCTCTATTAATAGCTTTGCTTCCTAGACCTTTCCTCTGTTTCCTTTTACCTTCCTCCTTTCCGATCACACTCACCCTTCTTCTGCCTCTCAGTAATTCCTCTCAGCTAGATTGCTGTTGCTCCAATACCCCCAGGATCTCTACATCCCACTTGTTGTTGATTTTAATTCCCTAGTTGTTCCCCTGTCTGTGGCGTTGTTTGCTCCCCACTCCCTTCCCCCACTGCCTCCTCCCCCAAGCCCCTCCAGAACCTTTGGTCCTGTTGCTTTCTCCTCAGACTGGCTTCCCATGTCTACCCTATATAAGTAGGCAAACCAACAATAACATAGAAAATACAAAAAGAATCCAAAAAATGATTTAAAAGAGAAAAAATATATATAACGAAAAATAGTAATAGCTAGCCAAAAAAAAGAAAGAAAAAGCTTAGATATTTCCAGGTCTGTCCACTGACCTTTATGACTATCTCCCCACTGGTCCTGGGGGGTTCTGGGAACTGCCCCTTCTAGCCTGTACTTTAGTATTTTTGATAGTTATTTCAAGCAAGTATTTTCAGGCAGGAAAAAAAAAAAGGAGGGAGCTTTTAAGTAGAATTCTCTTCTTTCCCCCCTCTTTCCCCAGAATTTAGTTTATTCTTATATACAAAACTTTATTAAGAATTCTGGACAAGTGGTATTCTGGAATAAAATTAAACAAAAAATTTTTTTAGTAAATGAACTTGAAAGAGAAGTATGAAAATGGGAGTGCAGGTAGGAGGGAAAAAATGGAAGAAAAAAAATCTGTCACTGAAATGAAGCAAGAACCCAAAAGCAAAGTAACTAGAAAAAGTCTGATATCCTGGAAGCTATGAGGCTTGGGTATAAGCCAGGTGGGCAGGATGCTGAGTTTGAGTCCAAGCGTTAACAGACGATGTGACTTTGGGGTCACTGGAACTGAACCCTTCAAGTAAAGAGGGAGCGCCAAATCATGGAGATGTTTAGAAAGAGCTTATCCAAAGGCCCAAAGGAGGGGGGGGCGGGGACAGGAAGGTCACCATCTCCATGGACTCAAAGGATAGGGAACAAATCGTCCTGTCTCTCAGACTCCAAGACTTCCATCCGGAAACCCTCCACCAGATGCTAGAATCCAAAACTGAGATAAAGCGACAGCAAATAGGCCATCACACACACACACACACACACACACACACACACCCCACAGATATACTTCATAATGTTACGTGGAGCTCCATGGTAACACCCTTCTCTGGTGAACGTGACCCGAGGGGAAAGACCTAAGCACTATATAAGGAAACAATCTGACAGAAGGGAGCATCAAGTACAGAAAGCAAGAAGTCGAGCTAATAGAAAACTCAGAAAGCCTGTAAAATAAATATGTTATACGTATCTGCAAAGAACAATGAAAGGCTGTTTTTCAAAAGCCTTATCTGACCATCAGACCCAAATTCAGTGTCTATAAATTCAAATTAAGTCGTTTGGAGGAAACAGGAGGACATCTATTTCCATCACTGTTGTAGGTGCCATCAAGTGGCTTCCAACCTGTGCACCACAGAACCAACCACTGCATGGTCCTGCACCCTCCTCACAAGTGTTCCTGTGCCTGAGCCCATTGTTGCAGCCACTCTTCAATCCACTTCATTGAGAGCCTTCCTCTTTTCTGCTGCGCCCCACCCCCACCCCCCACCCACCTCCACTTTACCAAGCATGATGTCCTTGTCTAGGGACTGGTCTCTCCTGACAATATGTCCAAAGAACGTAAGATGAAGTCTTGCCATCCTTGCCTCTAAGGAGCATTCTG